GATACCTGATGAGTTGAAACTGGAAAAGGCAGCAATGGTGCATGATTTGTAGTACCCAGATTTTGTGATCGCCCATCCACTGACGCCGGGTTAGTTGCAGCAAACATCTCTTGTCCTCTGTTTACCATCTGCTGCCTTGATTGCATAAATGGGTCCATACTGAAGAATGACTTAGGCGGACCAGGATTTACAGGAGCTGAACCAGAAGTCACAGCCGGTAACTCATAAGGCATACGGTTAGGATGATTAGACCGAGAGTCATAGACAACTTGGCCAAGAGTCTGGGGTGCAATGGGGTAACTGTTTTGAATTGCAGAAAGCTGTGCTTCAGAAAGCGGAGAAAGATTAGAGGGTGATGAAGCAAGGCCAGGTGGAGTATGGACTTGTGCTTGACCAAGGGGAGAAGGATTAGGGTATGATGGATTAGAAGCAAGGTCGGTTGGACGAGTAACAACTTGTGATGTATCATTAACTACTCCCATAATTGGTGAAGTAAAATCATCTACAATTTTCGGATCATTGTGTATCGTTGAATGGGATGAAATTGACTGCTGCATCATACGAAGAGGGACACCAGTGGAAGCTAATTTGTTTCCTTGCATAAAAGAAGGCATGGGCATAGTCGAACCAGCATTAGTTTGAGTTGAACCAATTAGGCTCACTGGCGATTCTGTCAAACTTCCAACATTCGCTGAAGGAGGCTGGAAGCCTAAAGGGACCGGTGAATGTTGTGTGGTACGAAATGATTTACTACTCAAACCAGGTGTATCAACCCATTGTGCTCCTCTCCCCAAACCATAACCACTATCATAGCCAGAAAGCGGAGAGCTTATAGCTGGCTTAGAATGAGAGGACTGTAAACAAGTAAAAGGGAATAAGATAATGAAAAATCATGGAAACTGAAAATTTTAATAGACAGTTAACATTTTCCATGTTCTACATGAATGTATGTACCTGACTGATGACTTGTTCACTTTGAATCTCTTGTCTTGGTTGTGTAGATGGAGAAGGGTTAACTTGCAGATCCTGAAAACGCAAAACAAGTAGCATCATTATATATAAACTTCAACCTTTTATAATTATTAAGTATCAGGGATTCCCAACAACGAAATATATCAAACATGAAATGTGTAAAAAGGTATGAGTCTCTACTAACCAACCTTAATGTCACTTCCGCGAAAAAGAATGTAATCGTAAACACTATAAGAGGACGGAATTTGCGGCCCATCTTTCTTTCTCCCCTCAGTTCCACATGATCTTACTGCACAACCATTCAATAAGTAACACACGAGAATTAACCCCCATTCAACACAAAGACAAGGTCACCACAATTGAATAGCAACACAAGTTGATACTTGCTTGGTAACTTTAAAACTCTCATGGCTCAGTTGCATATAAGTTTCCAGATTTTGGTCAGAGTTACCACTAAATTTCAACAGAAATTCGAGATGAAACTACTTATAAACGAATGATCAACCTTGTTATACATCCCATTGAATCTAAGACCAAATCCAGAAAGTATAATCACACACATGAACGGCAAAAGTTGGATAAACTAAATCAAAATCTAAAAACTCCTAAACGCAAACAAGGTGATGAAGATAAACTCAGTATCCTGATAACAAATACACAAGCATAAACATGTAAATCTGCGTTCGTACAGCTAAAAACTAGGCGAAAATCCGAAAATCGCAATAGGTTTCGAATCCGTACCGTTCTTCAGACCTAGCGTCGAGTCCTGAACGTTGAGATGGTACAGAATGCCTTCGTATCGGATCTCAGACTTAGAAATTAGACTGATGAAACTTCCTATGAACGTATCGCCGACATTGTTTCCCAGC